TGATGTCAGACAAACCTTGCTTACCTTGTGGACAACAGGAGTCACCGATGACTTTCGCGAATCTGATACAGAGAGTGACCTACCAGTCAACGAGGAGGAAGAACCAGACACGGGTGATTTTAGGGCAGACATAGAATCATGACGAGGAGGGGGGTTCTTAAAGAAATGTGCTTAAAAATGCAACATGAAAGAAATTGCACTAGTATTTCAAAAATTACCTTTTCATTGCCACTGCGCTGAGACAAGCAAGTTTTGCTAGCGCCAAACAGCACCTTCGGTGTCCCCATAGGAAGTGACGTTACTTGATGCGGATGCGTCTGCGTAGGTGTCTGTGATGAGTACTGCGAAGCGTTCGTCGTTCCATGAGGATGACTAGACGAAAGCACCGAAGTATTATGTGGCGAGTTCGTAGCTGTGCACGCCGGCCTCGTGCTATTGCATGGTGTTAGGTTTATTCTAGACGTTGGACAATGTCCAGAAACACTTGTCGGACTCTTCAACAATGAGCCGTCGCGATTCTCCTATAAACAAGCGTTCAAAGCAGAATTTGAATATTACAGAGCAATGTACCTGCATAGTTGGTGGCAACTGCGGTGGAGGAGGAGGAGCAGAAAGAATTGGTGATGTTTGAGAATCGGGCGTGGATGAGGGAGCATAAGCAGAAGAAGAAGGAGTTATCGGGAAATTGGGAGGAGGAACAGAGAAATTTGGAGGATAGGCAATGACCGGTGCTGTTGGTGGAGCAGCCAAACGGACAGGTGGCGTAGAAGCAGAAGTAGAAGGTGCTGATTGTGGTGGACGGGATGATGACGCGCTGTTGCTGCATGGAGCTCCAGTTTTGCGGGATGACTGTAATGATCTTGTTTAACACCCAACAGACATATCTTCGCGATCTCCCGTTCACAAATAAATGATATCATAGTTGACTAAAAAAAACCAGAAAAAACAATTATATCAATTATCAAAGAAAAAAATAGTGAAGGGAACAAAATAAGATTACCAGAGGCGAATCTAGTCGGGACGAAGCGGGAGTTGTAGCGGTGCTATGAGAGGCGCTTCCCGGCTGAGGGATTGTGATTGACAAAGCCGGACGTTGACCACTCGCATTTCTACTGAAACCACTCGAGGACAATCCAGTGGTTGAGGAAAGCCCCGAAAATGATGCCACTCCCAACGAATCCGGTGCAGACGCCTTGAAGATCACAAGTATAATGATCAGGCTGATAATAATAGGATGACAGAAAGTGAAATGTTCACCTTTGCAGCTAATATACGCTCTTGTGTGATATTGAGCGTGAAGTCGTCGAAGGAAGATTTTTTCTTCTGATTTATGCTTCGTAGTCTCTCCTCAAAAGAGTCAGTCCGGGGTGTTGATCCTAACGCACCCGCTTGCTTTTGCCTTGAGGACGTCGGTGTGAGGTCCGTTGCCAGAGATACCGAAGGACGACGGTGGTGGTGATCGTCCAACTCTGCAACTCCACGATGGGCCTCTTCCAGTGACGCATTCACGTCAGTAAGTCGCGATCCAATCTCAGCCAGACGCTGAAGGATGTGCGTAAATAATATGGTCTGATCCATTATTAGA